GCGACTTCCTGGGGAGGCATGGAGACCCCTCCCCTCGGAGCCGCCTGTGCAGGGGCCCCACCGCCTCCCCCAGGCGTCCGCCATGCTGCTCAGCGCCTTCCTCTGGTTCGCCATCCACTCGGGCTGCAACTTGGACCGCAGAGGCAAATACACCCTCGGCCTGCGGTAGGCCCGCCCGCCCCACACCCCCTCCCCGAGGGGTCCTGCAGCTCCCCGTTCCTATGCCCGAGACCTCTGCCTCTGCCTCTGCCCCGCGGGGGGGCCCCAGGACCAGGCCGAGGCCAGGACTCTAGAGGAGGGGTTCCAGGGTGGCTGGGCACACTGAGGGGCCCCCATGCACTTCACCCTGCGGCCCTCAAACCTGCCAAGACCCGGCCCCACAGGTGCCGTCTCCACCAACAATGAGAGAGGTGCTTCTGGGCTCCCAGGCCAGCCCCCAGCCAGGACCTCTGATCCGGGGAGCCCCAGGGAAACCCAGGGCTCCCCTGCCCAGGGAGCAGGGAGGACCCGGCCCCAGTGGCCCGGCGGCCCCTCTGTCCCTTCCTGCCATCTGCTCCATTCCCTGAACCACTCGCTCTGCCCGGCCATCTGGGCAGCCTCCCTGCCCAGGCATCCTGCCTGCCCTGCTGCATCCTCAGACGGCCTCACAGTCCCCCTGCATCCACAGGGCCCGTGGCTGCCGGCCCCAGGAGCCCAGATTCTCCGGACGCTACCAGCAGAGGCCTGCAGCTCACCACCCATCTAAAGCGGATGCTCTCAGGGACCACCTGGGTCCCAGCAGACAGTCGGGGGGCCCTCGGCTGCTTCAGGACACCCCCCTACCCGCCCACAGAGGCAGAGACGCCCCAGCCTCGTCCCGCCTGTGAGCCTCAGCAGGAGAGGATGCGCTGTCTTCCTCCACATCGTGGTGGGAGGGGGAGGGCAGGGACCCGGCCAGATGTGAGGGACCAGGGATCCCTCACAGACTCCAGGAACAGGCTGGGCAGGAAGCAGGGGGCAGGCTGAGCTGGGCTCTCCGCCTTGAGTCTCACAAGGTCAAACCCAGGGTGGGTCGGGCTGGATGACCCTTCTCTGCGCAGCTGTGGCACCGAGGCCCCCCCTTTGCCGGCTGTCAGGGGGCCGCCCTGCTCCCCGAGACCGTCCCCCTCCTTCTCACGTGCCTCCATCCTCAAGTCAGCGTGGCAAGCCGGCTGCTGCGAGACTTCCTCTGACACCCCTGTCCAGTGGCCGGAGAGCTCTCGCTGCTTTCAAAGGCTCCGGTGGCTGCATGAAGGCCACCGGGTCACCTCCCTGTCATAAGGAGAAATCACATTTTCTGTGATGCTGTGTTCACAGATCCCAGGGATTTAGTCAGGGCACTGGGGTGGGGGACGCATTTGAGAAATTCTGCCACAGCCTCTCCCACCCGACCTCCAACCACCTGCCTGGTGAGTTCTCTCTTAACCAACTGTCCCATGGTTTGCATCCTCTGCTCAAAACCCAAAGTCCTGAGTGGAACACCCAATGGCCCAGCCTAGGCCAAGGCCCCAGCACGGCTGACAGAGGAAGAGGGAACGTGGGGCCCTTTGACCTTCCAGAGCAGGAGCTCAGCCCTGCCCCGGCCAGCACCACACAAAGCCAGCCCCTTCACCCTAGAAGCAGCCTCCTGGGGCAGGCGGGGAAGGGGGACAGAGTGACAGACGCCCACTGCACCCCACCCCTTGTGTTTCCAGTCACACGCACTCCCCTCCCACACTTGCACTTCCAAAACCAAGGCGGCTCCCGCACAACATCGAGCAGCAGCTGCCCCACATCCGGAGTTTCACAGGCCTCGCCCCGGAGGGAGGAGCCCCAAGTCTCCTGGTTCTGCGCTGGGTGGCCATCCGGCCCCGGGGGTGTGCGCCCCTCTCCTGGGCCCGTTCTCAACTTACTGAATAAACTTTGCAGAAGCACCAGCTCTACACCCTGGGTGCAAGGGCTGCTCCTTCCCCGAAGGGCTGGCAGGCTCCCCGGCTCCACCCCTCCCCCGTTCCAAGTTCTCTCGCTGGTCTGAGTGCATCTCCTGCTGGGTGAACCCAGCCCTCGCTTCAGGGGAAGGCCTTTGTCCAGTGGCCGCCCCCTGCCACCAACTTTTATTACCAGGTGCGCAGAAAGAGGAGAGACCAAGGGGACGCTGCAGCGCACCCACACTGGGTAGCAGCGCCTTGTTTTCTCTTGATAGGGTCACCTGGCCGTCACCACGGACAGCCCCTCTGTGGTCTCTTAGCTCAGGGGCGGAGGAGCCCCAGGTGAGCCAGGTGGGAGCCCCAGTTCCAACTCAAAGACACTGGTTTCTTTCAGTGCGTTCCTTTGCTGGTGACTAAAACCTCTACACCAGAAGAGTGGAGGCCACCAGGGCCCAGAGGCAGACTTTTGGGATTGGCTCGTTCATTCTAATCACAAGAGGTGTCCCCCACCCCCGTGTCCTGCTCTGGGGAAATGGTGCCGTGGACGAGCACGTCCTGCAGGACACAGCGCAGGGTCGCGGGGCTGTCCCGTGGCCATGGCTCTAGATGATGCCCGAGGCCAGCCCGCCACCCACAGCGTCACTGCTTTGGAGGAGCAGGGTAAACGGCAGCCGTCGGGAAGCCCACAGGCATCCCCGATTGCCCGTTCCTTCGGCTGTAAAGTCAGTTCCTTGGCCAGAAACGATGGTGCCTGGGGGACCCAGACGTAAAGAAGGCTTTAAGTAAGTAAACGGGGCACGTGCGGGCGCAGGCGGGGAGCAAAGCCCAACCCAGTGAGGGCCAAGTTCCGTGGGAACAGCCACCCCCCTCCCCCGTGAAGGGGGACCCTGGTGCTTGCTGTCCGGTCCACGTGGCGGGGCGCCCAGGCTGGACAGGACTTCTGGGGGCAGCTGGGAGGCTGGTTCCACGTGAGATTAGCACCTGAAGGGGTGGGCTCAGGAGAGCAGATGGCCCTCCCCCTAGTGGGTGGGCACCGTCCAGTCCACCCAGGGCCCGAGGGGAACGCAAGGCGGAGGGAGGGAGGACGTGCCCTTTCCTGCCCCACCCACCTCATGCTCTCCTGTACCCAGACCAGGGTTATACCATCCACTCCCCGGGGGCTCAGGCCTCCAGACTCAGCCTGAGGGACATCACCACACTGGCCTGCCTGGGGCTCTGCTTTGCAGATGGCAGGTCATTCCCAGCCTCCATCACCATGTGCACCAATTCCTCATAACACATCTTCTATAGAGAGATGGGTAGGCAGATAAACAGATGATAATGGGTGGATGGATGGATGGATGGGCGGATACAGAGACAGGTATCTCCCTGGTTCTGTTTCTCTGGAGCATTCTGGCCAATACAGGGCTCAAAGTTAGTGAACCTGCTGGCAGGTGTCCTGTGAAGATGCCAGGTTGCAGTGCAGAATTGGACGCTGCTGCGACAAATCGGGCATCTGGCTATAGGGGTGTCCAGGTGAAACTCGGTGGCTGGACCCATGGGAGGCTTCCTTTATGTCCTCTGTCAGCTTTGCACAAGGCCACTGGGCGGCATGAGGGTGGCTGGGAAGAGACTGCCTGCCTGCCACGGGGGTGCAAGAACCTTACAAGGATCCAGACACCCCACCTCACTGGGCAATGGGGAGCTGCCAGGCCTGCCCAGCTACGGGACCCAGTGGACAAATGACACTGACTTCAGGACGGGCAGTTCAGGTCACCCTCTCCCTGGGCCCAGAGGGGAGCCAAATGCTGAGTCACAACAGGAGGTGAGGTCCTTGCAAGGAGTGTGACGGTGCCCCTCGCAGGACTGGCTCTGGCACTCTCCATCGCAGCTTTGTAGCCACCACTGGGGCCGTGGGGTCTCTGGGTCGCAAGGACCGAGCCATGTGGCCACTAGGGCACCTCTGCTGGCTCTGCACCTCGCACAAAGCCAGCCACCCAACACGCTACCTGGATGCAGGTAGGGGCAGAAGGGCAGATGCCCAAACTCTGGAAGCGCTGTGCACAGGTGACCAAGGCCCGGAGGGGACACACCTGTGTTCACTGGACCCAGAGAGGACTTCCGTTTTCACAGGATTTACTTCTCACTCTGCGACGGTGATTTTCACCCAAGTGACCTGCCACTTCCTCCTCCAAGTTCCATCAGCACATGTCTAGGGGGTGGGGTGGCATCGGGTAGACGAGTGGTCAAGACCACACTCCTGACCTTCCAAGTGAAAGCAAATGGCCTCTCGGGACAGACCCAAAAATGCAAAAACCAAAGCAGGCATTCACTGGCTGAGCAGCCGCGGGCCCCGTGCGCTGCCTGCCTCCACGTGCTCCGACTAGGAGCACCTGGCACTACGGCTGTGCTTATGCCACCACCGGATTGCAAGATCCACCCGCCCCACGGAGCGAGGCTCACAGCCTGACAACCTGATGCAGCACTGCACCCAGAGGCGGGATCTCCGCGTCCCTGCGTGTACATTTGCCCACTCGGGGCATCGCCCAGCTGTCCGCCGAGCATTCGTAACAGTTCCAGGGCTCACAGCAGCGCACACGTGTTCTGGCGGTTACCTCCCCTTGCCCACTGATTTAGAACTTCTATAGGTGTTCCAAGGTGTCACACTATGGCTCGAATTTCTACTTTCCTTCTTATTACCCAGGTTTTCATGTTTATTGGCCATTTCTGTATCTTAATCTGTGAAATGCCTGTTCATGCATCTTGCCCGTTTTGGGGATTGGATCTCGTGTCTCTTTCTTCTGATTTGTGGGGAATTTTTTATGTACTACTGGGTACCGTTCATCTGTTGCACATCTGTATTGAAAACATTGTTGTGTGTTTGTGAATTGACTTTCACCTTCTTTATAGTGACTTCTGGTGAACAAATGTTCTTTCTTTTTTCACCTTGTGGTGGAAACTTGAATACAGAAAAGAAGTACAAAGAATAACACAATGTGGAGGGAGGGTGGGGCTCAGTGATGGAGCATGTGCTTAGCATGCACAAGGTCCTGGGTTCAATCCCCAGGACCTCCATAAAAAACAAATATGTAAACAAATAAATGAATAAGCTTAATTACCCCCCCAAAGGAAAAAGAAAGAATAACATGATGAACACACATGTGTCCACCATGATGGCTAACTTTATGTGTCACCTTGGCCAGCCCTTAGTGCCCTGCTGTTTGGTGAAACCCCAGTTGAGATGTTGTGGTGAAGGTATTTTTTAGAGGAAATTAGCACTTAAGTCAGTAGACTTTGTGGTAAAGCAGGTCACCCTCCATCATGTGGGTGGGCCTCAGCCAATCAGTCGAAGGCCTCACACACAAAGACTGAGTTTTCCCAGAAAAGGAGGAATTCAAACTCAAGACTGCAACATAGGGCACCTGTCTGGGTTCCCTGCCTGCCAGCCTGCTCACAGAGCCCAGATATGCTCCCCCTACAGCTGCACAAGCAGTTCCTTACAAGAGCTACCTCACTCTCTCTGCACGTACACATGCCTACATTCAGACACACACATACTGCACACTGACTTTAAGATGTGTGTATGTGTACGTTTCTTCAAGTAACTTACGTACATTTTGCCACTTCCACCAGAAACAGATAAGCCATTCAGCGAGTTCAGCATTCACCTCCCAAAATGGAAGCTACTCCCCAGGGAAACCGCAGTCCCGTTTATCCCCTGTCGCTAAGGTAACAGTCATTCCCTCATAGCACTGAACACATCACCCACATTCAATTTCCATCCTGTCCCCCACGAGCTCTCATTGCTGGTTTGCTCAGGCCGACAGTCAGTCAAGCCCCCGGCTTTGGCTGTGTCTCTTCAAGTCTTTCCTAATTTACAGCAGTTTCCTGCCCCCCTCCAGCACTTTCTTCCAGCCACTAACGCCCATCAGGAGCCAGCGTCAGGTGCCCAAAGGTCCCGGATTCTGGAGGTGACTTCCTCGTGGTGCCATTTTACATGCTCCTCTCTCCCCTGCTTTTCTGGTAACTGGAGGTCACATGGGAGCTCAGGCTCTTTGGCAGAAACCCTCCATGGGCGAGGCGCAGTGGTCCCCGCTGCCCACAGCCAGGGAACACTGCACCTGCCTGTCCCACATTGGTGAGGCTGTTTGGTCACCGGGGGACACCAGGTAGTTCCACTGTAGGGTTATAGCTCTCATTTGCTGTGAGAAAGCACTCCATGGGCGTCCTGGTGGTAACCAGCCCCACGGCAGGCATCCCGCTCCGGGCTGCAGCGTCCGCTGACTGTCCTTGCCCGAATCGATGACGCCACTCGATGTTACAAGGCGGTGAGCTTCTGACTGTGGTGGCAGCATCTAAGTTAGTCCCGGAGACCCCTCCCCCTGAGAGTCACTCCCAGGTGCAACCCCCTTCTCTGGAGTGTAGGCTGGATCTGCTGAGTGACTTGCTTCCAACCACTGAATGAGGTTAGAGTGATGGGGAGTCTTCCCAGATGAGACGCAGCTTCCATCTGCCCCTGGCTGGCTCTGCTGGGGCCTGCTGCCGTACTGGGGGCTGCCCTGTGGGAGGCCCAGGTGGCAGGGGAAGGAGGGTGGCCTCCCGCCAACAGCCAGCAGGGGAGAATCCTGCCCACAACCAGCAGGTGACCTTGGAGGTGTGTGATCCCCGGCCGTGCCTTCGGATGAGACCGCAGCCCAGCCACTGGGGGCCAGCTTGTGAGACGCCAGCTAGAGAATCCTGGGGCTCATCCTGTGAGAGAGCCTGGGGCTGGGGGCTCGGCACTAAGCCGCCCTCGGGCTCCTGACCTGCAGAAACTGAGACCGCAAATACTTGCTGTTTCAGATGACTACACTTTGGGCTAATTGGTTACAGAGCCGTAGGCTAGTAAGCTGACTTTGCCATCCCTTCTGTGCTCCTTAGGTGGCCCTTCTTTGGAAAGGCATCCTTTCGTTCACCGACTGAGACTACCTGGGAACCTGGGGGAATCTCAATTTTACTTCTCCTTGAGCCAGTTTGGTCCATTTATAATTCTCTATCAGTGTTTTCATTTCGTCGATGCTTCCGAATTTCATGACCTATAATTTTGGTGAACACTCTATTTGGAAATAATTACAGCTTCACAGGAAGCTGCAAAGAAATGTACAGGGAGGTGCATGCACACTTTGCCCCCTCCCAGGAAGTCTGCTGTCACAGCTCCCAGGCGTGGGTCTTACAGATGCTGCTAAGAACATAACCGACAGGAGGATGGGGAAAGTCGTGGGCAGTCAGGAGACTCCCGCTGGCTGGTGGGAGTCTTCAGACTGTGACCAGGAAGCGCATTAATACAAGGGACGTTGATGGGGCCTCGAGCATCGTGTCCCGTGGCCGGGGACGAGGACGCCTAGATGCCCGGGCCCCGCGTGCATGGTACCAGAGGCGGCTGGTGGTGCCAGCAACTGGGTCAGCGGGGTGGGGAGAGCACAGGGACGTGAGGTGGGAGGGCTACAGAAGCTGGGATGTCCGAACAGGCTTGCCCGTGCCTCCCTTGCCTAATGTTTTATGGCGGTGGACATTGTGTCGCAGTGGGGGACACTTCCCCGACCTGGTATTGTGAAACCAAGTCTGCACCCAGGGGAGGCCACGGTGAGGAATGTCGGGGGTGATGGAGCGAAGGCCAGTTTGGAGGACAAGCAGGACGTCTGGACAGGCGTCGTGTGCTCTGGGGGGGATGGCGTCGCACCCGCCGGGGGCCGGTCCCCTGCCTGGTCTTGTAACAAAGAGTCAGGTGACTCTGCCCTTCAAGCCATGTTAACTGGACATGCCAAGTGGAAACCAGTAAGATCGCCTGAGTCACGCAGTGGGGAACAGAAGCTGGGGCGCTGGGCGAGGCGGGCCCGTGGGCGCTGATGCTGTGTGCGGCCGAGACCGGGGCTTACGGCCTTGTTAGCAGACCCCCGCTGGAGCTAACCCAGCGGTCAAAGGACGTACACTGATCATGAAAGCTGAAACACCAGAATGCCCAGGATGACGTGGGAGAGATGCCGTCCCGGGGACGGTGGGGACCAGAGAGCTCCGTGATGACTCGGGGATGCTTTCCGCCGACCTTTCTGCCTGGAGCAGCCAGCCCGGCGAGCAGACCTACACACTCCTTTCCTAGCAGTGGTGGGAGGATTGAACGGTGGGGAACTCCCGATGTTTGGGTTTTTTACTGACACATGGGTAGCGGCCAATGACCCTGCCATATGGAGGGCAGTGGAAACCTGGCCTATTACAGGGACGCCCAGATGGTGCAAGGCCGCACGGAAATCACCATGGGAACGTTGGGGGTGCATTCAGGTAGGAATCAGAAGATCCCCCTTGCAGGCTCAGGAGGCAACTGGGGACCCCCGTGTGCTCACCTGAGGCGTGCACCCAGGTCCACGAGATGAGTGGACATAGGGCACTGCAGCAACGCAGAGATGGGCTGGGTCCACACCCTCCGAGGCACAGAATGCCAGTAAGAGCTGTCCGGCCACCCACAAGAGACCCAGACGGCAGTGGACTGCACAGCGGGTTCCCTGGGGCGGGCCAGGGCGGGGCGGGGAGGAGGCTCTGATCAAAGCTGGCAGGTGAGACAGGCTGGGCGCTCGGTCTGCAAATGTGTCCCGCCAGGAGTTGACACTCCCTCGGGTCAGGGCCCCGGTGGTAGGCACAGCTGCTCAGAGAGCCGTAAGAAAACCGGAAGAGAACTATTGCTCCATCCAGACGACCAACTGTCACTTCTGCAAAATGACGAACTCACTTTACAGCCCGGAAGATCCAGCAGCGGGCAGAGGCACCCTCCTCAGAGCACTGGTTTCACGGAGAACAGGGGTGGGCTGTTGAAACACGGGAGATGCGAGCACCAGTCCACGTCAGTGGCCTGCTGGAGAGACCCCACCGGACAGACGCTTCTGTTTTCCTGGGCCTGCGGCGCCCGGGGTGGGGAGGGAAGGATGCTGGCAAGATGGTGCAATTCCCACGGGGCCAGTGGGGGGTGGCACATGGGTATGAGGACCACACTTCTTTCTTTCTTCCCATATCCCCTCGATTTTTTTTCCCTACTTGATGCAACGGTCACAAGACTAGGTCTACAACTGCAGGGCCGGGGAGGGGTGATTCCTATGCAGGAACCTGTAGCTGTGTTTTTAAACCTGATATCAGAATTCCTAAGGGCCTGAGAGGAGGGTTGAGCCTCCCCACACCTGGTAGACCTGGGGCTGACAGCTGACAGCGCTCTGATGCTGG